CAAAATGGTCAACGGTTTGCATTCCAAGACCTACGGAGAAAGATTACAGCTCCTGGGGCTATACTCATCCCAATATCGTCGAATCAGAGGCGATATGATTTTACTCTATCGGATTTTCCAACAACCCAACCACCCCTGTAGACCTCTGTTGGTTTTATCGCACAACGTTCATCTCAGAGGGCATCCGTTGAAGTTGGCACTCCAAAAGAGCCGTCTCGACTGCAGACGTCATTCGTTTGCAGTCAGAGTGTGCAACACATGGAACTCTCTACCACTTCATGTGGTCTGGGCCCCAAAATTAGTATCATTCAAGCGTCAGCTTGATGACGCCCTGGCAAGCGTTACATTTCAACACCCAACTACATAACATATTCTCCTGTGCTCGTGAAAACATTAGTTTACTACTTTACTTTCATGGACTAACTGTGATATTGTGATTCTTCATCCGAACCAATGTGTAAACACCCTATGGAATTTGTAAAAGCAAAGTCTTTTTAAGTTATATCCCATAATAAAAATTTGAAATTTGAATTTGAATGAGTTTGGTTGATCTCAATGAATCCTGTTCAGGGTACTAATGGATAAAACTGCTCTTTCGGGAAAGTCCACTGCTTAAATGCTGCAAGGTTCTGCATTTTTCTGTGGTCCATCAGGGTGTGTTGGTATTTGGACGTCCTACTATAGAGGCCTGATAAATGTAATCGAAAAGCGAAACTGCATGAACGCTATGCATTAATTGAGATGTGATTTCGACAGATTCGACCATAAGCTTCTGACTTTGCAATACTAAGTCCAAGGTTGATGGTTAGTGGCCTGTATCAAATCCGGTAGGCTCCTTTACATGGTTATATATATAATCAGTCAACAAACTGTTAAATTTCGTTCCAATGGATGGCTATTGTTCTGGCGTTGTAAAAAAATGGGAACAATTGAAATCTCCTATAAAAACAACATGAGTGAACTTTATTGAGAGAACGAATCTCATGGTCTTTAACAGTACCTAGTGAGCCCATTCTGAGGATGCGGAAGAGCAATAGGCTACACCGATCAAACAGCTGTTATCTTTGGACAGCTTCACGGTACACCAAAGTGTATCGGGGGCTGCAACGAGATCAAGCAGTTCACATTGAATACTGCTGCGAAAATATAGCAGTACATCGCCGGCAGCTTTGCTTGGTGGTAGGCAGTTTTGCTGTCGCCCGGTTCTAAACTACGCCTGACCTAGCGGGACCTTTTGTGGTTCGCCACTTCAAGTTCCCGGGATCAGGTTGCCGGTTAACATCACTGAACAGCAGGCCTTCGTGACTACGGGGTCCGCCCCGTCTGCTGTCTATCACACACCGGTGTGTAACAAAAAAATATAAACATATCTCGCATAGAACGATCACGTCTTACCAGAGATACGCCAACTAGGTGCAAGGATATCCGCGTAAACCAAGTTTCAGCGATGGCAAGATGTCATCGAATAGTTTTCGAGCACAGCTGCACCCCAGGAAATTCGTTAAGACAGCCTTTCCATTCGTGTAAAAATAGGAGAGAACGTCAGTCTAGGAACATGCTGGGGTTCGAATCGTTATATTGCCGACAGTGGTCAGCTAACAGTATTTTTGGGGGATCGGTTCTGTTGCTTTGGGTAGGCGGAGATGGAGAGGAAAGTGGAGTTCGATTTGAGAGAGGCAGCTTGTTAGCACCGTTTTCTAACTGTGAACACCGTGTCACCTCAGTGTTCGACAGGGGTCTGAGGTGTACTTCTGGTGTTTTTCCTCTGTTTTTATACAATACGTGCAAGACCGATGTGATCACTTCCGGGGCTTTGAAGGTTACTTTTACAATCCTCGGGATGTTTGCACGGTAGCTTGTTGAGCCTGGAAGTCGGCTGATTGATTTGGCGAAAACATTGTAGCATCAAATCAGCTGTTGAATGAATCCCTTTTTTATTTATTAGTTTGATGATACAGCCAAGAACTATATTCCCCAGTGTGGGGTTTTCGAACACCACAGAATGAAATAATCCCAGCCACACGAGGAGTGGTATAAGGCTATCCAGCGTAAAGGAGATTTCGAACGCGGAAACACACGTTTACCGGTAGACATGGAATTCTATAAACCAACAAACAAGATGAAAACAAGTTAAGCGACACAGTAACCACTCAACACCAACTAACAGACCATTCTGATGGATGACTCATTTTTTCAACTGGTTCTATTAAAAGACATCTATTCCCACAGTCACCCTTAGATGATTCCTTTGGATACTTTGGGTACTTATATCAATACAGTAGAAAACTAGAAAATGTCAGATGAAGTATTGCCGGAATGAGGAATCTTATTGCCAGGGCTATTGGACTGACATTACTGTTCAATCAGCGACAACCGGAAAACAATTCCAATGGTCGAAGTTTGGTATTGAGCATACCTATATCATCTCGGGATATTCAGACAAAGTTTAATCTCTGTTATGCTCTCGCAGTATCGATTGACTGGTGGAAGGGGTGACTACGAAAGAATGAGACAGGTCAGTCAAAAAATACTATCTAAACCGGATACAATCATGGTAGGCGTAAATCAGTGGAACTAAAACGAGAGCGAAATTAGAATGATTCGGGTGCAATTCAGAGCCCAAAGCTCTAATTGAACCGAACGTACCTGTACGTGAACAGCGTAACGAATAGGAGATAATTCGCCAATTTCATATTTGATCTCTTTTTCAGCTCTCAATCGCATGTACTCCATCTCTTCCTCATAATCATCCGCGGTGAAATCACGCTGTAGCCCTTTGCCCCATGCGGCAGAAGGCGGAGGTGGAATCCGTCCTCCCAGATACATTTGGCTCGTGCTGATTGACGGAGACAGAGTCCAAAGGGAGAAATGGGCATCAATGTAGGGTGGCTGGATGGGAGCCCAAGCAGCCGCAGCTGCCTCCGTGGCTTCTCGTTCATCTGTGCGTTCGAACTCGGCCTGTTCATTCGCCTCTTCTGCGACCTCAGCTAAAAGATCTGGTTTGTCGGTTCGCTCGTGCAATTGTTCATACTCCGCACGACACAGCGGTCCAATAAATCCATCCGGCACGTTTGACTGGGCCTGTAAGAATGAAAACCCGGATGAAATGTACTATGGGAAACGAATTCTGAACTTCACATCGAAGCTGCAATCAATCATTTCTGTGCGGAATCGGTGCCGCATTGCAAGAGATTTATGGGGAAAGTGGAAGAGCAATGCCGAGGTTAGGTGTAGATAAAGTGGCTGACCGCCATTGATTATACCGGATCACGTTGGTCAAGGTCTGTACTGGGTGTACAAACCAAGAAAAGACGCGAGGGCATGAAAACCCTCTCAAATGTTGCGTTGGGCTTCCTGAATGGGGATATAGGGACCAGCGTAACCGACTATTAGAGACACTGAGTTATATGGCTGTCACAAACAGTGGCACTCGACCATCTTCTCGGGGCCGCAATTCTCTATTTCAACCTCGACACCGCTCCCAACACTCCACTACCACTACATCCTCAACTGAATGGCCTGCCAGAAGATAGCAATGCAGCCATGCCCCTAACAAAATTAGAACCATTCCATCGTGCGAACAGACTACCCGAAAGGATACTATCCATCCGACGTTCTTTATAGATCTATCGTAAACTCGTACGTTTGGTTTTCATGCGGGTTATACGGTAATATGTTGGCAGTTCCTTGCAAGTGGCTTTCTGCTAGGAGCATAATGGGCTTGTGAAGGAGACCATGAAGAATCACGAAAGTGGAGCAGCAATAACCCCCCCCCCCCTCGCCCCAGCACCGCCTAGCGAATGCCTTTG